CCCTACCCAAAGCCCTCTGGCCCTGCTGGTGCCCCTCACTCTCAACCCGCAACCCCCAACATTCGCCAGCCCTGCTCATGTCCCTCACTCCTGACCTGCTGCTTGCACTCCTGACCCACAGAGACTTGCTGCTACTATTGCTGAGACTACCACACCAGTCACTCTGCCAGCAGTGCAACAAGTAATGGACCAGGGGGAGAGGGGCCATGCTGCCCTCACCTCCTCCCACCACCAGCCACTTATGTGCCGGGCTGCAGCTCTACCCGGCCGCCATGGACCAGCAGCCACTGCTCCTCTCAGGCTGCCCATACTGCCCTCCACCCGAACTCCCCTTGAAGGAGGAGCCACAGTCTGATGGGAGGCAGCAGCACGGTGTGGTGGGTAGCGATGCTCCATCCCCACCCACCCACACGTGCCTTCTAGCCCCTTTCCATGTGCCCCCAGTTGACCACCCCTGCTATAGACCATACTGATCCTAGGAGGAAGAATGTGACATACTATAGAAGACAGACACAACTAGTGAGTGAAAAAATATATATTCCTAACTCTAACACTGGCCTTTTTAATTGTTGCATCAAATCACTTTGTATATTAGACCTAATGCTCCCATTGATCAAGAATCCTCAGACAGGAGGAACTGCATGCAAAATGGATGATAATGTATATATGCAAAAATGCAAAAGCAACTTCACACTTCAATTACATGCATCATTGCTGCGAGACCACACAAACATATGCAACAAAGAAGCACTCTGGGTGATTAGCACACTCAATATGTCTAAATGTGTAAAAGTGACACAATTGTTTAAACACGAGTGGTGTTATAACCCCAATCTCTGGAAACATTTTAGATATGTTAAAGTATAAATGTAAATTTACTAATTTATTTCAGTTTGATATTTTAAGGTCAACAGAACTGCATTTAAAAGAATTGCAAATCCTAATTAAAAATGTACTCTCTACTTATGTGGATAGAAGTTGGAAAAGAAACATTTTACATCCTGAAAAATCTAATCTGTATAAATAATGCATTGCTGATTTTCTTGCATGTTTTCTTTTACTGTTGAAGAAAAAGGAGGGAGAAGTGAGAAGAATGTTTTAAGACTGCATTAAATCCTCCTAATAAAAGCAAAATGAGTGATACCTCCTTTTAATTTTAAATCAAACCACGAGGTATTTTCTTTGATGGTATAGCTAACTGTTAGTTTATTAGAAGCACAGGAGTGATTTTTTTCCTAAACAAATATTTACAATTAATGCTACCAACCAAATGATCTGACAGTTATAATTGCAGTACTGAAATGCTATATATTTTAGTTATATATTCCAGCCATTTAAACATTACTCAAGGCCCTCTAATGATACTCCGCTTTCAGGGAGAAAAAACAGTATTTTGCATAAAATAAAAAACAGTTAATGAGAAATCTGAAGGTTTAATTTTGTTTACACATGAATTCCTATTTTGCACTGAGGGGGTGGAGAACTAGTCAAAATTCATATTCTTATTTTCTCTCTAGATCGAGAGAGACTCCATAGAGAACAATAAAGACATCCCAGACTTACTTAGGTACGAAAGCAAAGATTTGCAAACTGGAACCCATTCCTATTTTGGCCTGTATGCGTATGGCCTTGCTCAGGACCTGTAACCTCTAGTTCTCTTACCGCCTCCGCATTCAGCATGAGGTTACTGTCTTACTCAATGCATTTTCCATAACTTAGATTTCAGGAATGGTGTAATTTACTTAAGAAGTGAACACTTTGTTATTCCAGGGAGAGAGGAGCGTTACATATTCTGATGCAACATAATCCAGTGCCAATCCAAGGCCTGACAAATAGGAATTTCTCCCCGTGAGAACATATTACTTTGAAAGACTTTTTTCCAATATAAAAATGAAGGAAATATTTAAACCATTTTTTCTGAATTGAAAATGAGAAAATGGAATGTATAAATTTGTTTTTATCATTTCAAGAGAGTTGGGTTTTGGGTTTTTTTTGTTTTTACACTTCTAAAATTTAAAGACAATCCAAAGCAAGCCCCCAAACTTTGTTTAGAGGATTCCTCCCCTTCCCCCCCCCCCAACAAGACTGAATAAGCAGAAAGTTAACTCTGAAAATTAAAAGATTAAAAATGAGGAAAGGAAGAGACATCCTGAGAATTTGGGGCTTAGTACATTATTTTCTGACAAAAAAATCTAATAATTTAGATATTTCAAGTAAAGCTGGTTGTAAAATGTACAGATATACAATAGCAAGTGACAGGGATCTAAACCCATTAAAGGGGTTTTGGAAATTTGTTTCCCAAACCCCTACCTTCTCCTTGGGATTTGGTAATGGCTCTCACTGGATCTGCAGCCCAGAACTATTTCCTGAGGATAGATACCCATGAACCCTCTTTCCAGAAAAGACAAGATACTGGAGGAAGAGAGTGGTGTTCCCCTCATTACATGAATAAATGGAGCCATCACCCGGAATGGATGACACCTGGATTCAGTTGATTGTCTGCCTGCCTGATTCATCTGCCTGGGGAGTGCCCTAATCATCAGGCTAGCGTATTAACACAATTATAGAGTTTGAGCTAATGCACAGGGTCTTTCTGTAAGACACTCATACCATATAAAGTTGTTGTTTGTTTGGGATTTATTGAGTTTAGCTCTTAAAAAGCAAAGACTATTCTCTCATACCTTCTCATACCTTCTTTCCCCCCCAGACACATAACAGGCACGTGGTAGGTATGGAACAATGGCTAGATCAATGGTTCCCTTGGTCATGATTAAGTGCCCATTCTTCATGCAGGTTAATTGTCCTTTAAGGTCACAATTACAGCCTTTATGGGGCACAAGTGTTTCTTAGACCATGCACGTATCCTCCAAGTGAACTCTGTGTATGACAAGTCCCCATCTGATGTTCTTCATGTACCACTATCAGTCCAAATGAACGACATTTTGGTGGGATAATCACTGGAAATGAATCCTTTGCATTTGTTATTACTTATTAGGCTTTGGATTGCACAGAAAAGTAGTGTAGCCTTCTGCAAAATGAAAGGCCTGGAAGATCACCAAAAATGTTTGTTTTTAAGCTCTTGGCTTCTCTTTTTAAGGATGAAATAGTCTTCGACAGAAAGGTGTTTTCAAGTGGGGTTTCTGCCCACCCCAGCCCAATTTCAGAAGTTCTAAGCCCCCACGTCACTCCTTGCCACTTGGTAGAATTATGAGCAATTGGCTTTTTCTAAGCACATCAAAGTTCAAGTTGCACTGGAAGGCATTTGTTTGGCACAAATAAAACTTTAAAGAAGCCCCTTTGTACAAAGTAAATTCAGATAAACAAGAGATCTGCCTTCTCTTCCCCCACATCAAGATGAATACTCTACACAGCGTGCAATTCAAGGAAAGGGATCAAGAAGCAATAGCTGATGGGGAAAGCAGAGGTTGGTTTGTAACATATCTTCCTGAACGACAGAAGAATATTTTCTTCAAAATGCTTTTAAAAAAGTTTTACTGGGAACAGTACAAAGTTTGAGGGTGTTCTGTATATAGTTCATCTTTGATCCAAAATGACATCCAGACAATTATTTTGAAGTTTTAAACAAGAGACAAGAAAGCCAGATTTGCAAAACACCAAATCTATATTTACATCCACATGTAATAACAGAGTCAACTGAAGTGAAATACATCATAAATTAAATGAATAATGTGTGTCTCTACTGCTTGACAACTTAAGGTTTCAACAATTAAAACAAAATGGAATGAAATAAATACATATAAAAAAATCAACAACTTGTACCTCTATATATGCACTGTTATCTCCAAAGAAACATACAAAACCAGTAGTATCCCAATAGTTAATACTGATGGGCAAAAGTCTACTTTGAACTACAGGGCTGCAATTTCCATGGTATGGAAAAGTCTTGATGGTATGTTGTTCTCCAGTCTGTTCCCAAGAGATCTGACAAAAGGCCAGAAAAAACTTTAGGAAATAAAATTGTACCAGCAAGAAGGAAGATTCTTTAAAAGTTTTGCGATTAAGGTTTTACATTACTGCAGCCCTGTGCATGTCTTATCATATACCCCAGTAAGATGTATAGATGATAGTTACAGCATGCATTCTATAAGACTCATTGAAAGATCAGACAGAAAAAAAATAGATTAACCATTTTCCAAGTGAGTTTATCTTCAAAAAATAGGCTATAAAAGTGCAAAACTAGGGGGAAAAAATCTAGATTATGTACATATGGCTCAGCTTATGAACAGGAAAAAAGGTAAATAGTGTACAATTTCCTGATACACAGCACTTCATTACATTGCCAGTTTACAGAGACATTAAAATTAGGTCCCATTTAAATTACAGGAACTAAGACATACAACTAGAATGTCTCAAGTTGCATAATGGAAACACAAATTTCTGGGGTTGCTATTTTACATTTGCTATTTGAGGAAAAGAGCAAAATGAACAGTGCAAAATATTTTTTAAACTTTTTTTTTTTTACTAAAATATACAGAAGTCAGAACCGGATACAGAAGGAGCAAGTCTTTAACTGGAAGCTTTATGAAAAGCAAGAAGGAACATAATGTCAAAATATTCATTTCAGCTTTACTGGCTGGTAACTGGCCATCCTCCCTTTAAAAATGTAAATTGCATGTGCATTAGAGGAAAAAAACAAAAATAAAAAACGTGTTGCCTTCACAAAAAGGAGAATAATTCTGCCCATCAACAGATTATTCCTTAGTAAAATTTCAAACATCTCAGAGTTTGGGACTAAGATGTAAGCAACAGATACCAAGAACCTTCCAAACACAGTCAAACAGGCCATAGCATAGGCTATCTCCCTTTAAAAAAAAAATAAAGAAAAAGAAAAGAAAAGAAAAGAAAAGGTGGAAG